TTACTTTAATTAGTAAATTATAGTTATTATTTTTATATAATTTATTAAATAAATAATTAATTTATTTACTTTTAATAATTATAATATTTTTCTTTTTATTATTAATATTTATTATATTATTTATTTTTATAATTTCTATTATTTTACTAATTTTATAAGCTTTATTATTTTTTATTTTATTTAGAAAGTAAATAAGCTATTTAATATCTAGTTTCTTAATTTTACTAGCTATTAATTTTATTATTTATAATTAATTTAAATAATATATAAACTAAATATAAAAGCTTTAGTAAAAAGATATTATTTTTAATTAACTTTCTTTTTAATTATTTTTATATTTAATAAAGTTCTATTAATTATTTAATATATTATAATATTAGTTTAGTTAATATTAACTATTTTTTTTATAAATTATTTTAATAACTTTAAATATATTATCTAATTTTTTATTATAGTTTTTATTAAAGTAAATAATATTAATATAATTAATAATATTTACTTTACTTATAAATTCTTTACTATATTAAAAATATTAATTAAGTAATTTATTAATTATTATTAAGTTAGTAGTAATAATATATAAGTTATTAAAGTTTATAGTAAAAAAGGAAAAAATATTAACTAAGATAATAATTAAAAAATTAGAGTTTAAATAAGTAATAAGTTACTAAGCTATAAAGATAATATTTACTTACTACTTACTAAGGAATTAGTAATAGTAATAGCTTACTTACTTATTAATAAATAGTAATTTTTAAAGTAAATTATAGATATAGAAAATAGCTATAAAAGATAAATAATTAAATATTAAAGAAAAATATATTTTATTATATAGTAAGTAAATATATAAAAAAAAAGATAGTAAATAATAAAAATAGAAATAAAAATAATAAATAATAAAATTAATATTTTATTTACTTATAAAAAGAAAAATAAAAAACTAATTAAAGAAATATAATAATATATTATATATAATTATTAAAAAAAAATAAAGTTAATAATATAATAAAAAGTATATATAAGATAAAAATAGTAATTAATAAAGCTAGTAAGCTAAATAGTTTACTTATTATTAAATATATTTAATAACATAATAATAATAGTAAAATAGTAAATAAAATTAGTAAAAAAGTTAAAATTTAAATTTAGTAAATTAGTAAAAAAATATATAATTATTAATATAATTATTTATTATAAGATTTATATATATTAGCTTACTAACTTATTAAATATAATTTTAAATTACTTTTTCCTTTATTAAATTATTATCATTATTATATCTTTATTAGCTAGTAAATATTATATATTATTATATTTTTCTTTTATTAATTAATACTTTTTATTAATATTATTTTTTACTTACTTTTTTACTTATATTTATTATATTTATAGTTATTATCTTTTTTACTTAAATCTCTATTTTATTTACTTTAGCTATTAGCTTTTTAGTTTATTTATCTATTTTAATAATAAGATCTAATAGCTTTTCTTTTAAATTTTATAATAATAAAGTTAATTTTAATTTTTCTTTTTCTTTATTATCTTTAATATTATTACTTTTACTTTTAATTACTTACTTACTATTAAAATATTTTATTAAATCTTAAATATTTATATTAACTAAGTAATCTACTATTTTACTTAGAAGCTTATTTTTCTTACTTATAAACTTAACTATAAGTAATTTTTTTATTAATAAATAATTTTTTATTTAAATTTATTTATTTAAAATCTTATTTTTATTTTATTAAATTTATTTAAAATATTTTAATATTTAGTTTATTAAATATAATTTTATAATAGATAATAGTTATTATATTAGCTATTTATAATTTTTAATTACTAGTTATATTTTAATAAGTTTAGTTTATATTTATAATAATTTATTATTTATATTTTAATATTTTTATATAATATTTAATTTTTCTTATAATCT